ACTTGCCAATAGCTTTGCTTTTGAGTTATACACAGTGCAACTAGTTTTGGGTTTATTACAGGATTATGTGAAGGGAGAAGGAATGTCCTTTCCTCCACTACAGAAGACTGCTAGACATCACAGACAGAGCAGACTGGCTGGAAATAAACCTGAAAAGAAAAGTTCTAAACACAGCCCAACATGCAAAGCAAAACTACGAGAGATGACATTTTAAAGATGAACTAAGGTGAGGAATGAGTCAACAAACCACAGACAGGAAAGTTAGCAAAAGCTTCCAAAATTTGACTGGTGGAGATATCAGGAAGGAATGATATGGGAGATTCCTGCATCATCTATTTTGGGTTGACAGAGTATAAGTGAAGAAAATGAAAGGTGCAGTCTGTATCCAATTGCAAGACCAGAGCATGTGTAATAAAATGTATTGTATTTACAGTGCAATTTAAGAGAATACTATTTTGGGGTCTTAACCTTGCAAGGCGTTCGGCCTGAAAGTGTAAAGAAAGGGCATTTACTTAGACAAGTTTTTTCCTGGGCACTAGGATTAAAATGTTTTCATTTGATTTGTTACTACAACCCCATAAGAAAGTTACCAGTACCCCTATTTTTACAAATGACCCACCAGATTTACAGTGGCATATACCTTGTCCAAAGCAGTTAAGACTGAGAATGAAGAGCCCAGGTCTGTCCTAAAGCAAAGCCTCCTCCCACCCCACAGCAATAAAGAAAGCATCATGGACTGCGTACGTGATCCAGAGACATACACAGGCATCTGACAGGAGAAGGTGCTTGAGGTCAAGAAGTCAAAACCTCACAAAGGGATAACCACCCCCTGCCACGACTCTAACGGGTTGTCAACTGCGGGCCGTTTGTTCCGTGCTGTGAACCAACACTGACCGCTACACGTGGGATGAGGTTTCTGGGGGCTGAAAGTCTACTTCCTCATCCTATCAATCCTCTTGCAAAGCCCAAAAATCTCTACTGAATAAGAAGTGGGCTTGAATCCCAGATCTGCCACCTGGGATATAATTATTTTTTCTGTAGCTACTGATTTTTCCTTTGCCATTACTAACTGGGTATTTAATTCTCTGAGATATACGAAACAAAATGTTATAAAATGCCTGTACCTGCAGAGAATGTCTAGTGCCTAATAGTACTACTTTTTAACTGAAGAATGTTTTATTTCTTGAACTACAAATGAAGTTTACTGATGACATCTATAATACACACATCTGTGCCATGCTTCGTTTTGCATCGAAAAAAAAAAATGAAAGGGCATAGATCATTCCTTAAAGGAGAATTTAATGTCATCAGCAAAGAAAAAAGGAAGTTTTTGTGGTTTTGTGTTTTTGACATGTATGTGTGCAGTTTGTGGATTTCCTTAAAAAACAAGCCATCATGTGCAATTACAAAAGGCTTTGTTTACACAAATTACTCTGCTTGAAACAAAGGTGAATTCTTTAAAGCCTATTTACATTTACAACATTGAATATTAAACCAATATTCATTACATATTCAACGTAAACCATTATGATACTTACAAGAAAAGTTTTAAGACATTGTTACAAAATGCTGATGTGGGGGAAAAAAAAAAACATTTTAAAAGCATACCTGCTCACCAGTAAAATTGTGTAAGGAGGACATGTTTTTCCCATCATAAATATAAACCTGTGGAGGAAAAACAAAAGCATATGAAATATCATAAAATATAAGATAACCCAGAGATTTTTTTTTAGATTCCTTTTAATTTTCCTACCATTCCCAAAGTCCTTGCTGCTCTTGGAACGCCTGAAACAAAGTCTGAAACAAAACAAAACAAAATAAAACATAACTCATATTCAAGACCAATACTGAAAACTGTAGGAGGAAATGGATATCTCAGAAAGCTTTAAGTTCTGTTTTGTTATTTCAGTAGAAAACAACAACAACAAAAATTCTTTAATGGTACTCCATAATAAATGACCATAGTATTTTTTAACAAGATCAAATCCTTACAAAATACAGAAAGATTCTTGAGAACTCTCAAAGAAATGCATGTGTGCCCTCAGGAATCTGTAATCTTATTAAAATGAGAACAGCTAAGATCAAGTGACCTAAGAACAAAGGAAAGGCAGTGACACCGAAATGTGGTCAAAATCAGGTGAAGTCTGTGATTCATAAATTGAGCTCTGAAGGGAGATGGATGGACAGACAGAGGATGAGGTAACAATCTTACATACAGAGCCCAGAAAGTTACAAGTTATGTCTACAAGAAGAAGGAACTAAGACCCTCCAAGAGGACCAAATCTGCTGAAAAGCAAGAAGGAAGAAGCTGAAGAAAAACTGAAACGCCAAGGGCGGGAAAGGAGTGGATGGGGGAAAACAAAGGGGCACTCAGCAACTGGCTGGTTCGACTTTCAGCAGCTGCAGATAAAGTTTAATGTAGACCAACCTTACATCAATGTACTAACATCTCCCCATTTCTGTTACATTCTATAACAATGGTTTCAAAACCCTTTAACTGCTGAGGTTTTGCAATGTTACCTGTTTTGAATGTTTAGTCTATATTTTTTAAGAAGGGGTAAATATAATTCAAGTGTATCATACCATCGATGCCATCACCATTGAAATCTCCGACAGCCACGGAATAACCTGAATAGGAAGAACAAAATGTGAAACTCCATCAAGGCACAGTCACCTACAGCATACTTGCTGAGTAGGCTTCCCTTGAAAATATTTTCAAAAAGGATTGACCCTTGAACAATGGGTTTGAGCTACACAGGTATACTAATACACAGGTTTTTTTCAATAAATATAGTGCAGTACTGTAAATGTATATTCTCTTCCTTATGGTTTTCTTAACATTTTCTTTTCTCTAGCTTACTTTGTTGTAAGAACACAGTATATAATACACATGACATACAAAATATGTCTTAATTCACTATGTCATTACTAAGGCTTCCAGTCAACAGTAGGCTATTAGATTTTGGGGGAGTCAAAAGTTATATGTGGGGCTCCTGAGTGGCTCAGTTGGTTAAGCGTCTGACTCTTGGTTTTGGCTCAGGTCATGATCTCATGATTTGTGAGATCAAGCTTCACATCAAGCTCTGTGCTGACAACACGGAGCCTGCTCGGGATTCTCTCCCCCCCCGCCCCACGCTCCTCCCTTGCTTGGTCTCACTCTCAAAATAAATAAATACATAAACCTTTTTTAAAAAGTTACATGCAGATTGTCGACTGTGCAAGGGATTGGTGCACCTAAGTCATACACTGCTCAAGGGTCAACACAATTCCTTTAGTTATGCAGTATTTTGTTCTCTAGAGGTAACAGATGCATATGTACATGCTAAATGAATCTAAAGGAAATAGTTACACCCTAAAATAGTATTTTTCTATTAGAAAAATAAGACGTTAATCAACTTCACAAAGGAGTCAGTTAAAAATGGTAAATTTCTCATAGATACAGAGTATAGATTGGAGGTTAGCAGAGGCAGGGGATAAAAGGTGGGCAAAATGCATGAAGGTGGTCAAAAGGTACAAACGTGCACTTATAAATAAGTCATGTGATATAACCTAGAGGATGGTGAGTAACTAATACAACTATGTTGTATATTGAAAGAGTAGAATTTAAACATTCCCAGTACAAGAAAAACAACTGTAGCTGTGTGTGATAATGAATATTAACTACACTTATTGTGAGCATCATTTCACAGTATATAAAAATATCAAATCATTATGTTGTATACCTAAAAGTAATATAATATTACAAGTCAACTGTATCTCAATTTTAGAAAAACAGGGTAAATCTGTAATTTATCTTAAAGGAGCAAAAAATAACATATTTTTTTCAATCAGCAAAGTACTACTGCTGTCCTAAGTCCTTGGTTTAAAGAGTAAGAGAAACCTAAAAGGAGAAAACAAAACTCAATAAACTTTAAAGACCAAAGTTTAACACAGTGAATAACACAGAGAATAGAAGTTTAGGAGTCAGACTGCCTGGGTTTGAACATTAGAACAGCAAGTTACTAAGTGAGTGACTTCAGGCAAGTTATTTTGCCTTTTTGTGCCTGAATTTCTTTACCTACAAAATAGGGATAATAGCAGTACACTGTCACAGACCTGTTGTAAGGATTAAATAAATTAATACAGATAAAGCATACTTAGAACAATGCCTAGAATACATAAGCATACTTTAAAAGTTATCTATTACTATTAATTGTTGTATAAATAATCACTCCTAAATTTCAACTACTGAAATATAACATAACCTAAGCATTCATTAACAATTTGAAGTTACGTTCCTGTTCCTTATATTTTAAAAAAATTCAACATAAAAGATTGTCCTGCTTAAAGCAGCATATGCAAACACAGGGCAAATACACTGCAACTCCATATAATGAATCCATATTTTGGTTTTACTTACCCAAGTAACTGTCATCAAAAATAGCTTGAGCAGTCCGAGTTGCCAACTGGTTATTATACTGGATGCTGTAAACTTTGGGGTCATATTTAGATACAATTTCTGCCACTTGATCCGAAATGAGCTGACCTGAAAAATATATATATAATAACTTTCTAATGGGAATTTATGATGCAGATGATGGATGGTACCAGCACAAGAGTAAATAGCATTCAAGGGGTGCCCAGCTGGCTCAGTCGGTGGAGGATGTGACCCTTGGTCTCAGGGTCGTGAGTTTGAGCCCCACACTGGGTGTAGAGATTACTGAAATATACAATCTTTAAAAAAAGAGAGATTGGTATTTCTAATTATTAGCCTTAAATAACTCTTCATAATGCTCAATCTGAAAGTTGATGTTCTGTTCAAGCTAGTTCTTAAAATTAGTCACTGCTAGGAGTGCCTGGGTGGCTCAGTGGGTTAAGCATCCAACTTCAGTTCAGGTCATAATCTCAAGGTCTGAGAGTTCAAGCTCAGCGTCAGGCTCTATGCTGACAGCTCAGAACTCGGAGCCTCCTTCAGATTCTGTCTCCCTCTCTCTGCCCCTCCCCCACTCACCCTCTGTCTCTCTCTCAAAAATAAATAAACATTAAAAAAATGTTTAAAAAAAGAGTTTGAAAATCTACTGAAATAATTACCTTTACTGTTATAAGAATGAATCGATTGTTTTTTTCCACAAATTATTTGGATACCTTTATGAAGAGGCCTGAATGGGTGAGTTCACTTTTCTTCACAACCTTAAGGTAGCCAAGAAATCTAAAGCACTACACAAAAATCAGATTGTTCCTGACCCCAAGAAAAGTTGGCTGACTTATCAAAATGCCATCTCCATACATGAAGAACATAATCTCCTCATTTCTGCTGTTTCAGAAAAAAACCTCATAGCCAACATTTATCAGTCTGTTCCAATCTGTCCAGTCACAAAGGTTTACTTTAAAGGTAGGAACACTTTCTGTTTGGGTCAATAATTTATCCTCTGTGCCTAAACAGACCTAACACATAGCAGGAATTCAACATATATTTCTTTTTTTTTTTCTTTTTTTTTTTTAATTTTTTTTTTCAACGTTTTTATTTATTTTTGGGACAGAGAGAGACAGAGCATGAACGGGGGAGGGGCAGAGAGAGAGGGAGACACAGAATCGGAAACAGGCTCCAGGCTCCGAGCCATCAGCCCAGAGCCCGACGCGGGGCTCGAACTCACGGACCGCGAGATCGTGACCTGGCTGAAGTCGGACGCTTAACCGACTGCGCCACCCAGGCGCCCCTCAACATATATTTCTTGAATCAAAGAACACAGGAAAATTCTATCATCTCTTTTGAGTAAAACATTACAATTTTCTCTATTCGTATAGAGATAATTCTGAGATCTGTGGAAAAATTCATTCTGGCATACCTATTAATTCAGGGTAAAACTCGATGATTTTAATCTCATTAGAACAAAATATTCTCTGCCCAGCTACTGAGTCTTTCAGTTACATTTCCTAGACCATTTACTAATAAAACTCAAATCAACATGGTATTGATTGTATCTGTCCTAATTTTTAAATAGGAATGAATACAGACACTGTATAATACCCAAGGTATTAAAAAAAACTCGTCATTTAAACATGTTCACAGCTGTGTCTCTTAAAAAGGCAGAGATAACTATCAGTCCTGACTGAGAATTACAAAATCAGTCTTTGGTTCCCAGGCATCCCAGCAGACACTTCCCTCCCCTCCACCGAATTCCATAACTAGCAATGGAGAAGAAAAACAATTCCATGTTTTTTTCTCTTACTAGAAAGTATTAACCTCATATGTGATTAGAATTATTTTTGTGTTCATTCTAAAACTTGAAAACTCTGTTTTAATCTCATATGCGATTAGAATTATTTTTGTGTTCATTTTAAAACTCGAAAACTCTGTTTTAATCTCATATGCGATTAGAATTATTTTTGTGTTCATTTTAAACCTCTAAAACTCAATTAGAATCTTCCTAAATCATTTCATTTTTCAATAAATGTATATAGTTCACAGGAATCCAAATTCTTTCATTTAGTGTGTCTCACATGCTGATTCATCTTTCCCTGATTTTTCTCTTTTCTTCATTCCCTCCTTTGTCATCCCTTTCAACTTTTCATTTATTTCTATTTCTCATTCCTTCTTATTGTTTTTCTATCCTATTTTCCCCTTCAGTAAATTTCTTCTTGAGTTTCCCTTTCTGTGAAACAAAAGCAAGTGTGGGTTTTCCTATGGAAAAGCAAGTAAGGAAAGCACAGTGTAGAATACAGAAGTAAAATGCAGAATTAGAAAGTAACTTGCACATCCATGCAGTCACAGGTTTTTCCAGCTCTTCCAAATACTGATAATGCTTAAATGTCAGAATGCCAAGAAACAAAAGTTCTGACTCTGTGAATAGCATTTATTAGCAGAAAACAAACGTGAATAAATTAAATATATAATTGTGTGTATATAATCATAAATGAAACATAAAGCAAGTAAACAAATTTAGGTACCTGTTTTCAAACTTTCAGCAAATAATGATGTTATGCATTTGTTCAAATAGTAATATTATTGGGCCTCCCAGAATGACTGAAGAATGCAGTGTTTTATCTTTATTTTGACACCAGTTTAATTACATTCTTTTGAAATTTCCTAAGACCCACTATTTTAAAAGCTCCCCAAAACGAAGAAGTCATTCATGATGTCAATGGTTAATGAGAAAATAACTATTTAAATATTCTAATGAACAAATTGAAAATACTTTAAAACCATGAGCTTTCAGAATACCACAATTTGCCTGCATAGATCAGTTCCACACACTTCCTAATGTTTACACTATAGACTCTAGAGTAGAGACAAGAAAGCATGTATCACAAACAATAAAAATAAATTGTTTTAAATTACTTTGTAGATTTACATTATAATTTACTTTAAAAATATTGTTTACTTTCTACTAAAAATATATATAATATATATTATGTATTATAATATGCCACAAATTTTCTATATATTATATTATATATAGGATGTTACAGTGCTTTTTAAAAAAAAAATACTGTGAAACAGATAGCAATTACACATTTAAATTGTATTTCTCAATTTCTTTCTTTAAAATAATTCGAAAAATCGTATAGGCACATGGTAAGCCAAGCAAGCATTAAACACAATCATTACTGAGTAATTTAAAAAATATTATCCTAGGGGTGCTTGGGTGGCTCAGTCGACTAAGCATATGACTCTTCACTACTGATTTCTGCTCAGGTCATGATCTCATGGTTAGTGAGATCGAGTCCCATGTAGGGCTCTGCACTGACCATATGGAGCCTGCTTGGGATGTTCTCTCTCCTCTCTCTCTGCCCCTCTCCCTACTCATGCTCGCTCTCTCTCTCTTTCTCTCTCCCCCTCTCTCTCTCCCTCTCTCTCTCTCAAAATAAATAAATAACTTTAAAAAAATATATCAACCTACCTTGCCAATAAAAGCTACCAGGACCACCAAGAAGTACTCTGTCAGCCTAGATTAAACCAAACAACAAAAAAATACATATTTAAAAATAGGTAGATTTAAAAACTGAAAGCAATGTAATACCCACAAAAGCCATATATATATATGATATTTAATACACATAAAAGCTATATAAACATATAACAAAATCACAAATCTCAAACTCTCCTGACTCATTTTCAGTAAATTTTCATTGTACTTTTCTAAAATACAATAAAAATGTTTTAAAAGTTATGACTATTAATATATGAAAATATACAAATATATACACACATTGATTCTATAGATCTGGCTGGTTCGCAACTTGTTAGCAAGTACTACTATAAAATATTTTTGAGTTATAGAACAAAAAGTCATTAATTTTGTATATTACATTTGTAACTATATAGACAAATTTTCTTTCTAGTAATCATTAAAATTTTTTTGGCTAGAAATGCCTCAGGAAGCTCAGTCAAGTATGTGACGCTTGGTTTTGGCTCAGGTCATGATCCCAGGGTTGTGGGATCGAACACCATGTTGGGCTCTGTGCTGGGCATGGAGCCTGCTTGGGATTCTCAATCTCTCTCTCTCTCTCTCTCTCTCTCTCTCTCTCTCTCTCTCTCCCTCTGCCCTCCCCTGCTCACAAACTCTCTCTCTCTCAAATAAAATTAAAAAAAAATTTTTTTTAATGCTTTGAGAGCACCTGAGTGGCTCAGTCAGTTAGGCATCTGACTCTTGATTTCGGCTCAGGTCATGATCTCACAGTTCATGAGTTCGAGCCTTGCATCCAGCTCCGTGCTGACAGTGTGGACCCTGCTTGGGGTTCTCTCTCTCTCACTCTCCCTCTGCCCCTTCTCCACTTGTGCTCTTTCTCTCAAAATAAATAAACTAAAAAAAAATAAAAATAAATAAAAGAGAAATTTTTTTAATTCTTTGGCTAATGAAAAATTATTTTTAGTGTCTTGCAGATCTAAACAGGAATGAAGTTAGAAGGTAAATTTTTCAGTGTATATAATATATACAATTTACACTTGACTAGCATTTCTTGTATCTGTAACCAACTATAAGTATCTAATTCAAGATAACTGTATTTAGTGTTTGAGCATAATGTTTTGGACATTTCTTCCCCCCTGGAGACAAAAAACGTAATTCTTCCCCTCCAAACATACATATAGCCCTTTCAAGCTTTCAACAGACAATTTCCTGTCCTGGTTATGTAAAAGGTACTTCTAAGTTGTCTGCTGTAAAATGACACCTTTTTTCCAGAAATGAGTTAAAGAAAGTAAATAACTAATTTAGTAGTGAATGGTTGCTATATGAGAATATTTCTGGGGTTATAGTTACATAGGCATAGGTACAGAAAACATAGGGACTTTTTAAAATATAACACCTCTTTGAAAATATATCATGGAAGTTTAACCTAATATTATTAGTATACTTTACCTCTCTTTGTTTTGCTTCCTCAAATTTTGAATTATGAGTAATTATGAGTAAATTTTGAATTATGAGTTTCAAATTGAATGACTTACATCAATTATGTAATAAGGAAAGTTAACTAGAATTATAGACCCAGTCTAGAAAAAAATTTTTTTAAATAAAGATAAAATATAAATTAAAAAAAACAAGAAAATGCTTTATTAATTTTCTGAATTACATGATTATAGTTTATATCATTTTAGTAAATTTATGGCATTTGTTGCTCATACTTTCTAAGAAAGCCATATTAAGCTTTCTAAGGAAGCTCTATTTTTAATTAATATATTTGAGATTTCTATCTCAAATAGAGAAATTAATATTCTCAATTTGATATTCAATATTTTCACATATCTCACCAAAAAAATCCCCACATACACAAAAGAAAATGACATAAGGAAAAGTATTTAAGAAAAATTTCCTTTGAAAACATAAACTGAATTGTTATTTCAGGAAAACAGATAAAAACTGTCAACTCTGGAGAGCATGCTCGCTTAGTTAAAAATACAGAGTCACGCATCTGAGATGTTTCACAATAATTAAGCTGCTTCAGCTTTACTTGGTGCCTGTAGGCACATAATAGATGGCAAGCATGCATGTTTCTGAGCTTTTATGTAACTAAACTCTAATTCTGTAATCAAGCTCCTAGTGACAGCTTTTGTGAATTTCAATCAAAAAGACAAAACTTTAGTACTATATAAATTTATCTAATTAGAAATTTTAATATAAAGTCATAATAGTTATCTGTAATCTACTGAGATCTTTTAGTGTCCCCCACTCTCATTTTGATGTCTATTTCAAATAGGCAACGTCCACTAGGGAGAGAATATGAGCCAAAGAATTTCAAAATGCATGGGACATTTTTATTAGGTGTTTTCATAGAACAGGTAATAATTATAAAGAAGCTGAAGTATTGAGCAAGTAATTTTTAACAATGGTTTAGATAATGAGGTAGATCTGAATCTCATTCAGTCTTAAATGAGAACTTACTTTGGTAAAATCAATGCTGAATCCTCCTTGACAAAATCCCTGTCCATCAGCATCAATATTTTCTAAAATAAAAAGATTGGAAATATACACAAACCCAAAAACAAACAAATGACATAAAACAAAACATGAGAAAAATCTGTATCACTGTAATCATAAGATAATGTATTGTTGAACTGGGAGTGTTCATTCAATGTGGCATTTAATGAGTTATTATCACACTCTAAAAAAGTTACTATGCATTTTTACCAGCACCATTCTCTCAGATAATGGCAATAGAGAGAGATCAATGTATCTGGAATGGTCACCAGGAAATAGAAACATCACCTAAGATGGTAGATTTCAAACTTATTTTTAACCATAACCCACAGCAAGACTATATTTTATATCACAGTCCATATAACCCAACATGTATGTTATTGTATGTGTGTATAACACATACATGAATAAGACAAAATTTCACGAAACTATCACTATTACCATGGACAATATATTCTGATACTTTCTATTTTATTTGACTCCTTTTAAAAAAGAACTACTGGTTATGATCCACTATTCTGATTTCATGAAACAAAGATGAGTTGTGATCTACAAGTAAAATTCCAGTTTGAATTTGAAATTCCAGTTAGCACTCTACAAATTTATTATGAATACCAGTAAAGAGATACATGCACTCCTAATACATACTGACTACACACACATTTTACAGCCAACAACAACAACAACAACAACAAATCTATTAAAAACGTACTTCAGGATTTTGGGAGAGGGCCAGACCCTAACTTAATATTCAGCAAAGAGCGAAATACAAAACTATCTTCGCAACATATTTAGAACTGCAGTCTAATGAAAGCGAACATCTTTAAACACGACACTGATTATTTTCCAAATGATAACAGACTCAACAGTTTGACTCTTTTGTAGTTACCCTTTATTTTGTAGTTCTCACAAGGGGACAATTTCTGGACAAGTAGCCAGTTCATTTAGATTAACCCTAATCATGAGTAAAACTGGACCTAGAACACAGGTAAGGATGAATCTGAAGGCTCTCCCTTGTTTTATTTCGAGGATAACAAGGAACAATAAAAATACTACTCTTTAGTTATCAAGCATTTCCTATAGACAATTACAATATGTAAGTAATTATGCTTTCGTATTACTAAACTTGCCACCCAAACACAGGAACCAAAAATATCTATTTTCGGTGTAACTGAAAGGACAATTTCCAAATATTCCCATCAAAATTTTTGAACCCATTTTAAAACCTGGGAACTGCCCCAAGATTACACACTTAATAACTAAATTTAGAGGTTGTTTTATTAAAGGCCTCAAGAGGGTAATGCTGCCCCGATGTGAATTTGTTTTAACAGGAGGGAATGGGAGAATGTGGGGCTGGGGTTTCCAGTGTCTAGTGAATCATACTGATTCACTGAGGAAGTCTGCTCCGACCTCAAGTTGGCTCTTTATTTCCTTTCTTCAAGTTGTATTTAGGGAACTATTTCAGGCTATTTTTAGAGACATCCCTTTTTGATTATCATACTGTACAGTTATCTCCTTTATTTGGTTTCTCAGAACATCCCAGCAAGAAAACATGACTGTCCTTTAAAATTTTATTAACAGGTACATATTAAACTGAATGTTTATGACAATGTGAAGAATTTTATGTTAACTACAACTATTTCCGTGAAGGCTTTTGTTTTTATTTCTACAGATGAATAATATTTCTCCCATTCATCAAGCCTGACAGCATTATAAATAATATTACTGATTATGATAGTAAGAGCAGTTAATGTTCACAAAGCCCCTTCTGTGAGCCAGGTACTGTATGAAAGCATTTTCCAAGGTACGATCGTTTAAATCTTACAGCAATCCTATGAGAGATACTAGTATTATTCACAATTTACAGATAAGGAAACTAAGCCTTACAGAAACTTAAGTAACTTGACCACAGTCAACCAGCTAGTAAATAAGAAAGCAAGGATCTGAGCCCAGGTGTGTCCACACCACTAAACTGCACTATCTCAAATCAGCAATGTGCTTGTAATTTCCTGAGTTAACAATCAAGGGGAAAGAAAAGCCAGCTCATTATCATTACTGAGAAAAATCTATGTACAAATGTCATCAGAAAGCGGAAGGAACAAAGGACTCAGTCTGATCACGGAATTAAGAGCATGTAAGTTAAATGATTTGTGGGTCAGGCACTTTTAGAACAGAAAGTCATCTGGCCTATTGTGTAAAGCCGTAGGTCACAGATAGTTATGAAAAGCCAAAAGCAAACATAATCAGGAACAAGGAAAATTTTTCACAGACAATGAAGTTTCATGTCCAGCGTGCCCACACAGGTCATGTTGAAAACAAAAGCAAACAAACAACAACCCCCCACAAACTACCACTACCAAAACAAGCAAAGTTATCAAGAAGTTAGCAACTTAGCCCTTCAAAACTGGCACCTCCATGCAAAATCAATCATTGGTTGAACAATCTATGGAAGCATGAAGAAGATAACAAAATACAAAAACTCTATCTCTGAAGTCTTTTAACCAAATCAGTGTTTTACTAATAGTGAAAACAAAGGCCCAGAGTGGTTAAGTGTACCACCAATAGCTGTCGCCAGGTTGCTGACAAAATGCTAGAATAAACCCAGGTTCTCAGATTCCCACTCCTGAGCATTTCTTCACCTCTGGTCAAGTTGCTCTTCGTAATTTGGGTCTGTACATAGCTTCATATTTCAAAGTTTGAGCCAAAAAACATGTGCAGTGATCAATGGATACTGAAAGCTAAATTTATTAGGATGAAAGGCACTCACTTTGATGTTTTGAGGTTATTCTTTTGCTTTTTCTAAGATTTTAGGTTTTATTATTTGATTAACGATCAGCAAACTTTCTGTGAAGGACCATATGCAAATATTTCAGACTTAGGGGCCAGCCAGTCTCTGTGGCAACTATTTAACTCTCCCTTTATAAACAACATGTAAACAAATGGGTGTGGCTGCTTTCCAATAAAATTTTATTTACAAAAAGAGGCTCACAAGCCAGTTTGCTGACCTGATTTGGATGTTAAATAATTTAGAAAATAAGGGTTAAAATGAGTTTATAATTTTTGTGCCTATATTTACAATTTCTGTGCCTAAACCAAATAAGCAAAAGCATTATGTAACAGATACATCATGCAAATACTGCCTTCATCCTTTAAATACATGTTGAGAAAAAAAAAATGGTCATTACAGAAAAGGCAAAATGAAAAAACAACACTAGCCTAATCTAACAGTATATCCACATGAATGGATCATTTCTAGAATGCTTGCTTTCAGAAGGGTACCAAGTATTTCACACACCCAGAATTATCCAAACCTGTATTCGTGAAAGCACAATGTATTCTTTAAGGAAAAGCTGTGGTTAACACTGAGGCAATTGAAATGGAAAACATATTCCATTGTTAGTATTTACAAGGGAAGGGCTCCTTTGGAATAAGATAGAACTGGGTTCAAGTCCTCATTAGATCACTCACTACTAAAAGATGCAGGAAAAAATTACTTCCAACAATCTGAATCTCAGTTCCCACATCTATCATGTGAGAATAGGGTGATTTTTACCTTTATGTCCATCACATAAATGGTAAGTTACAAACCTGGCGGGCAAGAGTTAGCTCATTCCTCCTAGCTATAAAATTACCTTCTCACAGTAGCAACATTCTTGCAATACAGAAATTGCAAACACAAATGGAATCCTCACATTTTCCGCATACCAAAAAGACGACAGGACTCTAACCCAAACAGCAACATAAAGGTGGTGACACAGATGGCATCAAACACGGAGTAGAAACCTGCCAGCCTCCTCTGTCCTGTGATGCGGTGTGCTTTCTGACCAATCCAAATAAATAAGCACTTGTAGGGAGGTATCATTCTTTTGATGTTGACTTCTCACAACATGCAGGGTCAAGTCGGTGGGTGAAGAAATAAGCGTTAATAAAACCGTCTGCAATTTCTTGGAAGTTCAACTGCTTAAAATTTTAAGGACTGAACAGCTCCTTTGGCCTGGTGTCCCAAGTCACCTAACACGGATGAAAAGAATCCAGCAGGTAACAGTCTTACATGTTCTACTTCTGTTCCTGATTCTCTCTACTAAACTATCTGGTGACCAATGGAACATAAAAAAAGAAACAGCCTAAAAAGTGCTCTGGATATAAATACCATAAGGCACTTCAGTAAGCTATTTTTACATTGCTTGTATAAAGAGGATCCGGAGTGGTGGCCACTGAACAAAGACGGGAAGGCAAAAGAACTGGAATCTCCTTTGGAAAAGCACGATCAAAATTATAAGGACTCAAAATCACCTTTAGTCACCACATGAATTCCATTTGAAATTTCAAACAGTGTTAGACAACAAAGTGAGATCTTTTGGATCATCAAAAGAAGAGTAAGGCTGATAACAGACTGACAAAGAAACTGACTTAAGAGGAGTGCCTGGCTGGCTCGGTTGGTGGAGTGTGTGACTCTTGATTTCAAGGCTGTGAGTTCAAGCCTCATGTTGGGTGTGGAGATTACTTAAAAATAAAATCTTGAAACAAAAATTTTTTAATTAAAAGAATAATAAAAGGAGGCAAATTCAGACTCAGAGTCCTGAGCTGAATGTTTTTACCTTCCTATATAAACTCTAGCTCTTTAAGACACATATATGTCTTGGGGCGCCTGGGTGGCGCAGTCGGTTAAGCGTCCGACTTCAGCCAGGTCACGATCTCGCGGTCCGTGAGTTCGAGCCCCGCGTCGGGCTCTGGGCTGATGGCTCCGAGCCTGGAGCCTGTTTCCGATTCTGTGTCTCCCTCTCTCTCTGCCCCTCCCCCGTTCATGCTCTGTCTCCCTCTGTCCCAAAAATAAAAATAAAAACGTTGAAAAAAAATTAAAAAAAAAAAAAGACACATATATGTCTTAAAGACATACATATATTATACATACATTATAATATATTATACATATATTATACTTATATTATATTATATTATATTATATTATATTATACTATATTATACTATATTATATTATACAAACATTATAATATATTATAATATATACATAATATATTATACATATATTATACATACATTATTAATATAAAGCTCTAGTTCTTAAACTCTGGTATCCATCAAATCGCCTTGAGGAGTTTTCCTAAAAATGTGGGTAAACAGGCCTGAGGTAGACCTACTGCATCAGCTTCTTTTGTTTTAGGAAGTCCTGCATCTGTGTTAGAGAAGGTCAATGGAACATCTCTTGACTAACACAACATGTCTACAATTTTTAGACACACACACACACACACACACACACACACACTTTTAACAAATTAGGCTTCCCAACCCTCATTTAAAAGTTGGTCCACTTCTTATACATACTTGATCTGCATGGAGCATACTCTACAGTCTTTGCTCCATCCTGAAGAAAGCATGTTCCAACTGGCTCTCTCTCCTGTTTCATTTCAGTCCTCCAGTGGTACAGTGGGGCACAGGCCTGAAATCAAAGGTGGTGGTCCACAACATAAAAATTCCCTGAAAAGATTAGTGTTTCAGACAATCTACACTACCCCAGAATCGAACAACACTTTCTAAGCATTAATAGAAAGTAACCACACCTATCCTATACTATGAATTCCAGATCACAACAGTGATAAGTACCTTTTTCACATATTTCACTTTCAAAATGGCAAAATTATTTCATGTAGCACTTTTTTTGATCAGCACTAAGCTGATCTAATCAACACTGTAACTAAATAACATTCTTACACACGTAGACTACACCCTAAATTATAAAGCAAATAATTTATTATTAAGAAAAAAGTAAAAGACTTTGCAGTGCTCATTTGATCTACTTTCCAAATAAATTGTGACCCTTCTGTTTTCAGAGTTATGGATTTTAACGCCATACACGAGCAGTAGAATAATGTATGCTTTAATAACGTAGTAATCTACCAAAATGTAACAGTTTAACTTGCTGGCAAAAAAGTTCAATGAACTTTCTGTAATACTTTTTGAAGCAAAACATTAACACAAATGCTGGAGACTTCAACAGTGGGTTACTCTATATTTACCCTGAAAAAAGTGGAAGGAGATGATTGTTGCTACTTCTCTATATGTACTTGATGTTTCGTGTATAAGGACTATTTGCACCTGCTTACTTCTACTTCTTTGCTTTGTGCCTAGAATGACCCACTCTCAACCCCATCCTTGACCTCCAATTAGACACATCCTGTAGAGTTCCTGTGAAATTTCAGCTCCTAAACAAATTCTTCCCTAATGCCCCACCATCATATTTTTAAAAAAACAGCAATAAATACTATGCAGGTAATTACAACAGGGAAGGGCTTTCTGGGGAAAAGAAATGAAAGCTGAAGTCAGAATGACAAGGAGCTAGCCAAGTGAAAATCAACAAGGTGAGCATAAAACAGGGACAGGGAACAAACACACTAAGGTACTAACTGCAGTGACCTGGCATATGGAAGGGATGAAGATTAGTGTGGCTAAAGCCTGCAAGATGGAGTGAGATGATGCCAAAGAGACAAGAGCCAGTGACCTGGTTGTGGGGGTGCTTATAAGCCAGGATAAGCAGGGATTTGAAGTCTATGTGTGATGGAAAACCACCTGACGGTTTTAATTAAGAAGATGAAATGCTCTGGTTCATTCTGGCCCTCCTCTGGAAAAAGGATTGCAGAGGAGGAACCGCAGAGGATGGACTGCAGGAGAGGAAGCAGAAAGAGGAGATGCGCCACTGCAGGAACCCAGGGAGGTTACAATAGTGGCTGGGTACAGGGTGGAAACAGTGCAGGTGATGATTTCTAGATGGATGTGGGATACATTCTGGAGGCAGAATTGATAGGGCTTGCTGGTGGAGGGGATAGAGAGTCATGGCTGTAAACAGGCTGGGGAAGTTTTATATGGAGAGCATTATCTTCGTGTTTTTTCCTTTCTGATGAAGGGTAACAAGAGTTCTATTTTGGCTATGTTCATTTTGAGTAACACAGGAGATATCCAAATGAAAATGCCATATAGCTAGTTCGGAAACACTCTGAAAATCCAGGGAGAATTAAGAAATAGAGATATAGCTTTAGGGATTATGACATATAGACTGTATTTACAGCCATGGGACAGGATAGGAACAGCCAGGTAAAAGGTGTAGTTAGAGAAGATGGTGGCCCAGAACCCAGCCTAGGACACTCAACACTTAGAAACTGAGCAGAAGAGGAGCTGCTCAAAAAGACAGTGAGGATCAGGCAGGGAGATGGGAGAAAACCAAGAAAGTACAGTGTTCCAGAAGCCAAGGGAAGAAAAGCAGTTCAAAAAGAATGGGCTAACTGACCTTCTTGAATGGTGCTGAGTGGCAAGAAACATTCAACAAGTACCAGTGATTTCAGTGACCTGAAAGCCAAGGGTGACTTTAGCCATGCCTACCTGAGTTTGACTGTGGTTGGGAAAAGAACAGGCAGTGAAGAAGTAGAGGGGATAACTGAAGAAAACACTGAAAAAGTTTCTGAAAAGAGGAGCAAGGAATGTGGCATAGCAGGGGAAAGAGGCAAAGGGAAGGCTGCAAAGAGGTATTAGTGCGTGTGATTAATCACAGGCACACTCATCCTGAACCCGGCTGGACAGAAACACCCTGAGGGGAAGGATCAACAAGAGTGGAGAAGGTAACAAGGCAGGAATGAAGGTGGAAAGTATCAGAAAGCAAGTCTGTGAAGGGCAGGACACAGAAGATCTTTGATAGGATGGCCTTTGATCAGGGCTATCTTATCTCATCTTGTCCTGTACTCCTGAGCGCACTGAGTTTTACTACTAGCTTTCAAGCAGAAACTTTTCTGTGTTTCCACATAAATTGACAAAACTCACTTACAAGTAAATATCCAAAAGACTTACCAAAATTTTATCTTGTTTTGATCTCACAGATGCTCCAAACCACTGGTGGGACTTAAACTCCAATGGATCATCCTTGGCATAATCTCTGTTGCCTAAGAAAAAAATATATTCTTAGTATAACAGAGTTTATTTCAATCCAGACACACAAAGAATATACCTTTGATTAACCAAATTTGATTAATCAAATGCCACATTAGCTATTTATCTCGTGTACTTGCTGAATATCAGGAACTTTCAACTAACCAAAGAAATAAAATACAGGATGACTAGAAGTGTCCCAGGGTTGTTATTAATCCCCATTAACTGTAATGCAGATGTGAAAAGGTAATACTAAGTAAAGTTTCCCAGTGACTAAACTATAAGATAACTATTAAACACTTATAATTACCTACTGTGCTCCTCAAAGTTCTATGATATAAATATATTTATGAAAACAAAAGGCCTTTGTAAAACACGAGTAGTAAAAGACTAAAGTAAAAGACAAAGATAGCGCAAGCGGCATTATAACACAGGAGTTAGAATCTAGGAGACATGATCTGGCTGGTGGGAAAAAGAATCAGATTTGGTACACTACATGCAAATATTTGTTTTCAGTTTACATTTTCGAGAAAATTATTCCCAATGTACTAGCCACTCATGTAAAGTATTGCAAATTAAAAAGAAAGAAAGAAAGAAAGAGAAGGAAAGAAA